TGAATTGCCTAATTATGTGAATACATAATTAATCTAATGAGAATAATCCATTTTTATAATGAAAAAGGAATCATTAAACAATTTAGAGTTATTAGAGACAATGCATTATTCAAAGGAAACTACTTTACAAGGAGGTCTCAGTGGTGATTAATAAAACAGATTTAATTTGAACATCCTGTTAGGTTCTAGACTTCCCCGTTCTAATTAAGCTATTACAAATGTAAGGGAGGAGGGACCTCTGTACACACATTCATCTTGAAACCTCACTCCTTTCTCTCTCTTTCCTTCTTCCCCGCTCCACTTTCACTATGTTGGAGAGAGGCCACCGTACACATTTTAAGAGGCATGGTAGCAAAACTTATTTTTAGCAAATAAGTAAAATGAAAACTGCTTTAGTGGTGGATGGAGTGGGGGTTTTTTGTTTTTGTTTTTAAACAGCAAATTATAAAGGAAATAAGACAATTTTGGAGGAAAAATGTTTGCACAACTTAAATTTCACTGTAGCTTTTTGTTTGCTTGTTTAAGTGAAAGCTCATACAGAGACCTTTCAACAACTTCAAACTCCTCAAGAACACAGCGATCTACTACCTATCTCAGTGAAAAGATACTGAAAAATTTGTCTTTGTTTCGTTTCAAACAGACAAGAACTTAAGTATTTCACTGTTTGAACTCATGTCATCTCTCTGAATTGACAGATTTTACACAGAGTATTTCTTCAATTTCTCCTGCTTAGTGCAGACAGAAATGGTATTCTGTATTTCCTTTGTGGCTGGTCAATACTGTATCAAAAACTAAATAAGCTCTGGGCCACAATGTCATGGTCTGACCTGGCTGAAAATTTCTGTTTGGTACACTTTTTATACTGACTCTTTAAACGCCAACATGTTCTTAAAATATTTATATGAAAATTTCTTTGGAATCTGTTAGTTCATAGGTATCTCTCTGTGGTTTCTTAGACTGATACTTGGATTCATCCCACCTGTCCATAAGCATTTAATCGAGGCATCTAGATAGAAAGAGTCTCCTCTGTCGTCAGTGGCGACCATTTCAATTATGTCATCTGTTGATGACAGAAGCCACCGACATCCTGCATGATCCGAAATGGCACACAAGTCAAATGTTTGAGAGCCAATATTCTGAGTAGATATGGGTAAGATATTTCAAAGAAAACCTTTCCAGAGAAAATGAAGATGGAAATTAAAAAACAAATAAGCATTTATTAAGTTTAACTTGGTTTAGTCAAAACTGTTCATTTTAAGTCTTCTTTAAAGAATATGTATTAAAAATATCCAATTAAACTCCTCAAACTTTATAGAAGCACTCAAATCTAGTATCTGAAATAATTTCCTGCAGTGTTCTAGTTAAAAAAACCTATAGGTTGTGCCAAGAATAATATTTTCATTGCCAGAGAATTAAAAAAGGAATAATTGTACTGGTGCTTCTGCACTCTTTCCTCTTCCATTTTTTCTTCTTCCTGATTCAGACACATTTTCTCTTTCATCTGTTAGTTGTTTCTTGTACTGTACTGTGTACCATAGTAGCTTGTATCAGATCACTCATCAAGACTCACGTATTTGCAAGACAACAGTTATGCACAAAGTTCAGACAACTGGCATATGAAAAAGGAAAAGAGTAGGAAAGGGGAAAAGAAGGGGAAACGGGGAAAAGAAGGGGAAAATGTGGACAGGTGAGCAGCTACCCGCATTTCAGCCCAAGAGGGGACTGCCACCCTCTCTGGTCACTAGAGTAAAAGCCATTTCCCATTATGTCCAATGAAGCAACATCATGTCTGCAGTGTGCAGGTATTTATCTCTCTTCAGCTTTTCCACTAGTTCTCCCTTCAGACATCTCCAAGCATAATGAGTTTGAGAAACACTGATTTAAACCTGAATTCAGTGAACTCCAAAGCCAGCAAATTACATATACAAAACTATTTATAACACTAGCTCCATCAGAGAAATGTGCTGTGGTGGTATTATCCCAAGAACCAACAGTGAAACTGTTCACCTCTCTCCAAATTTTCATGTGATCAAATAAGCTGATTCCAGTACCATGTCACATCTAAGAATAGCTTTTTTTTGCTTAAGGCCTGAATTAAAGCACATTGTAATATAAACATCTCTTAAAAGATGCAGAATATCGACAATTTTTCCTGACAGCTCCAAAAGAAGTCCAAAAGGTTAGAAGTCAAGAAAAACATCTGCACATCCTGGGAGCACAAATTATAAGTGTGTGCATGCATGTGCACTTGGAAGAAGATGTTCTGTCCATTTATTCCTGCTACTCCATCAACACCCTGTTTTGTCCCTACTGACCACTCTTTTCATTTGGCGGTTCTGTGAGGTAATTGTTTTTTTAGGGTTGATGCCAACTATTTTATTCTCTGTTCCAACATCTTCATGCTGAGAAAAAAAGTAATCTCTAAGATTTACATGCAAAATATGGATGTATTTCCCCATAGTTTAACACTTCGAAATAGGATATGGGCTATACCTGTGACAAGGTGCTAAAACAAATCAATGAGATGTAGAGATAAAAAGCTTAAAGTGTTCATTAGGGATTCTTATGTAATATTTGGAATTCCCCTGGTAAAATACACTACAGATTCCTGATCAATACAAGAAATAGATGGAGGGGGAAAGGGAAAGAAAGGAGAAAGAAGAGGGGAGAGGAAGAGGGAGAGGAACAAGGATAATTTATTTCAAATTTTATGAAGTTCTGTGCCCGAAGTGGCAAGGTTTTGAGATCACCTGTACTACACATAGACACATAAGGCAAGCAGAAGTAAACCATATCCTTCTCGTAGCTACTTTGATTTAAACATAGGACAAGAGGTAACTGGCACAAACTTGAACATAGAGAGTTCCATCTAAACTTGAGCAGGAACTTCTTTAGTTTGAGAGTGGCAGAGCACTGGAACAGACTGCACAGAGAGGTGGTGGAGTCTCCATCTCTGGAGACATTCAAAACCCACCTGAATGAATTCCTGTGCAACCTGCTCTAGGTGGACCTGCTATGGCAGGGAGACTGGACCAGAAGATCTCCAGAGGTCCCTCCCAACCCCGTATCATTCTGTGATTCTGTGATAGAGTAACATCACTGAATTTGGTGAAGTGATCAGAAGTTACACAAACAAAAGAAAAGGTTTCACCTGCGTGCAGTAGAGCTCTCTGTGTGTAAAATATTCCATGATGGAGACCTAGTGACTGGTGTGCAGAACTTCCTTCTGTCCACAGTCCTTCACCATCACATTTTACTATGCTGGTGTTCCAAACACTGACTAAATCTTACCCTTCATTCCTGATCTGCAAAGCAGAATCTCACTTATGTTGCAATAATGACCTCTACACAAGGACACAGAAGACACTTCTCATACCTATGACACAACAAAGGAAAAAATTGCTAAAGATTTAGGGAATAATTTTAATCAGGAAACAATACACCATTTTGATTTTGTAGTCTGGTAATGAAGAAGTGACCACATCAGAGATGTATGATGATTTGAATAACCTTGCTTTTAGTTTATAGGGCACTTGAAAACGAGACAGAAGGAATACTGCAGGAAAAGACAGGCAAGCTGTCAAAGTAATGAGACAGACAAAGAAAAAAGTCTAGACCTGTAATAAAATATACACAATCATGACTTCAATTGGGAGGATGTATTGTTGAGACCTACCTTTGAATTTGTATGAAAAAGATTTCATAATAACTAAGGATATATTTCTTAATAACAAAAGCTGGAAGGGACTTGAGTAGGATTTCGAGAAACAATTTGCTGCAACTTTTCCTCATTATCTTGAGATATCAACTATACTTATATCCAATTGAAATAATGGAGCTTATATGCACAAATACCCCTGTCAGATTTACCTGTACAGGCATAAATAGAAGACAAGGTCACTAACTGCAATGATACCTAATGCAAAATAATGAAACACTGGGCTACATTTCTTTAAATACCATGACATGTTCTCAGTAACAATGTATGCATTGATTCTAACATACAGAATTTTACACTGCATAGGACCAAACAGAAATAAAACGTGTGAGCAATTCAGACAAAGAAATCACACAAAGTAAAAACATGGTTATTATGTGAGATTAATTTTCCCTTTTGGCTACTCATTTTCATTTTTTTTACATTTACCAGTTAGAATAAGAAGAGGAAATTAAAGCAATATACAAAGATATATGTGTACATATATATATATAGTATCCCTGTGGTTCCCTACCTTCTTCCTTAACTAAGATGAAATTTATTACTTCTTTCTATATTTTCCAATTGGGACTACATAGCTTGCATTTTTAGATTTGTCTATTATCAGCTTTAAAATACAGTAAGAATTAGTCCATAAAGTTAAGTATTTTTGGTTCCTTGGGACTAATCACATCTGGAAACACTTTTTGCACATCTAGCAAAACCAATCCAAAGTTATAAAGATACCTTCAAGTTAACTATGTGCTTTAAGGACATACATGGTTTAGTACGGCAAAGGTATAGCCAACTTGTCAAAACCTTTTGTAAGACTTATCCATTTCAAGCCATGAAGATGCTGGGAGGGAGCAGATGCTCGATTAAGGCCTGTAAGTGCTCAACAAAAAGCAGGCACTTCGATACATAGAACTCACGCACACTGAAGTATAACCGCTAGTTGCCCACCCACCAGCAGCCAGTGAAGTTAGGCCAAAGCTGTTAATAATAATATTCCAGGCCATGAAACTTTGACATATGGCAATAGTCACCTTTTTTGTTTCTCAGAGAGGCAGCAATACTGAAATTCCCCTCACAGGAGGAAAACTATGCAAAATATGAAAATCTTCACCTCTCCCTCTGCAGTGATTAACAAATTGAAATGGAGATGAAGTTATACATGGTAGATTAGTTTCTTTCCCTTTACAGAAGGTATTTTGCCAGTAGCACTTTTCAAATCCTTAATCACTCAGAGAGATTAGCAGCAAGTCTGGAATACGTGTGGAAACCCTATCTATCTTAAACGTACCATAATGCATGTAGCAGTTTCCTTTGGTAGGATCCAGCTGAATAGCCTTCACGAAGTACTTTTCTGCCTCATTCTTGCGTCCCTTAAATAAAAATAAAAGGGAGGGGAAATTATTTTAACAGTGTGTCACCATGGAGAGATCATGTGTAGGTATAATTTCCAAATTCCAGGCACTAGAGAAAAACAACTACTATTGTCACTAGACTTAACCTAAGTAAATATAAACGTTTCAATGTTACTGTAAATTTTGTGGTCAGCTACTTTGTGCTGCAGATTTCCAGACTGAGGGAGAAATGCGTCCAACATCATCAATGTCCAAGAAGTAAGGAAGTGGTAGAAATGTACTGCAAAAAATATTGTAAAGGGCTTTGGGTGAACATCAAGCTCTATGCTACTTTTCTGGATAGATATCAGGATAAGCATTACAAAGATCGAAGCTGAAATCGGAAGGGAAGACAGGAGGGAGCTCTAGTCATGCTTTTTAACAAAAAAAAAAAAAAAAAAAAACAAAAAAAACCAAACAAACAAAAAAAAGAGGCAGTGGGGAAGGGGAAAAAACATATTTTGTTTCTATGAAATCACAGAATGACAGAATATCTCAAGTTGGAAGGGACCCATAAGGATCACAGAGTCCAACTCCCTGCTCCTCGCAGGACTACCTGAAACTAATTAATAGACTAAGAGTGTTGACTAGATGCTCCTTGAACCCTTACAGGCTTAGTGCTGTGACCACTTTCCTGCAGAGTCTGTTCCAGTGACTGAGCACTCTCTCAGTGAAGAACCTTTTCCTTATGTCCTATCTGAACTTACCCTAACACAGCTTCATTACAATTCCTTCTGTCCTAAATAACCCTAGATACACAGCCAATGATAAAGAGTCAGCACAAACAAAGGTATATTAATAGAAAATATTTTGGATTTTAATGTGGAAAGTAAAAAAAAAAAAAAAAAAAAAAGAATATATTTCACATTTTAATGTAGGAAGTAAGTTTTCATCAGAAATCAATTCTGTCAACCATAAAACATAACGAAAATAGAAAAGTTAATTTTTAAAGACAACGGTCAGTGGTATGACAGAACAGAGAGAAAGAAAACCCAACGGAAATGATGGTAAAAAGGACAGACCTGTTGTAAACCACAGATTTTCTTATCACTGAAATCACCAAACCACTAAAGTTGCCTTATGGTCTACAAGTGCCAGAGCAGATCCACTAATGGTCATTACTCTTTTCGTGAAGATATTGGATTAGCCTAGTCTGATAATCAAACACAAATCACCATCAACTATTCAGTAAGACACTTGTGACCAGCTTATCCCTATCCCCATGAAATTAGTTGCTGCGGTTTGCGTTATAAAATAGAAGGCCTCCAGAATAAAGAACAGTTAACTATAACCACTGTGGAAGAAAGGCATTGTGGTCTGCACCTCTCAAGGTTGCCTTGAGTGTTATTTCACAGATATAAGCATATAGGCTTTCTCAAGTTTTGTGGTCTGGAAACAGACATTGCATACATCCTGCACTATCCCACAAGTTAACATAGGAATAATAACGAGGTCTGTTCATGATTACAGCTGCTCCAGATTCTCAGTATTTCCCTCAAGGGCCTTAGAGACAACAAAATAAAGAGAGAGAAAGAAGTTGTGCAGCACACCAAGAACTATATCAAGACCAGGTTCCATCAAAACCAACACAGAGGCCATATTTCCAAGAGATCGTCCTGGCAGAGATACAAGCAGGCTTAGCATTTACAATATTCCAGTTTCACAAAATGAATGTTCATTGGAGGAAGAGTTTAGCCTTATTAGTTAGTAAACTTTTTTGGTAAACCCATATACCTTAAAAACATACCCACATGGCACAAGGCTCCTGACAACCAAATGGTGGAACTACATGTTAGAGTACACTATCTTATACTGCAATACTTCTCCTCCCTGTTGTGCTTTATTATGTTGTGTTTTTTTTTTTTAAAAAAAAAAAACCAAACAAAAACCCAAAACACCCAACATGTAGCCCAGACAGATTTTTCCTCATCTACTAGTGCAGTAAACCTATAGATTAAATGCAATTTCTTTTTTTTTAATAGCATACAATCATAGTTGAGAACAAAAAGTGAAGAACAACCTCCAATTGGAAACATAACGTTAATTTGGGACAGCATAAATTAATTATTCAAGTTCAAATAATTGGGGGAGGGAGGAAGGTTGAAAATTAAACACTAAATTTTGCATATTTAACTACAAGATTGGCATTCTTAGTCTGGCAAAAGGTACCACAACATATGTAAGTCCAGTCATGAGGCTTCAAAATGACAGGCACCATGCATAAGTATCACTAATACTGACAGAATTAACGTCTACAGATTTTGCATCGTTTTTTTTTTTAACAGACTCACATCATTACTTTTTAGCTGGTTGCACTCTGTGTCTATTTCTAGAACATGAAAGGACAGTTCATTGAATACGGTCACAAAATATGTAGCTTCTGCCTACAGAACTATGAGTGTAAGGGCACAAACATTTGTCAAACGGGATTAATTTTCATTTACTGGGGTCGCTGAAAACACATGACTGCTCTACTCTTTTTGTCACTTTCCAAATGGCATGCTGAATTCAAGTTCAGGCCAGTCAGGAGACCTGGAGTGCATAATGATGACAAGTGCCAGCAAACACAGCATCAAAGGAACAACTGTACTATTAGCAGGCTCAAATACTCATTAACAGATAAAGGGGTGAAAAATCTTACACTATATCACCCAAGACATAAAATGATCTGACTACAAACTATCAGCACAGCTCCATTTGTTCATATTGACCATTATTTTAATATATCTACATTTGTCAAAAATTAAAAAAAAAAAAAGAATAAAAGCATTTTCTTGCAGAATGGCATTCTGAGGAACCTTGCAATATTATATCATCTAGAATGTCTTCTTTGATGCCATCTGTCTGCTACTAAAATGTCAATACCTCAGCATAGATTTAATACACTTTATTTTTATGTCAAATGATATAAAATCCAATCACCTGACAGAATCAGGCCATTTAATACACTTATTTTTATGTCAAATGATATAAAATCCAATCACCTGACAGAATCAGGCCATTTCGCAATTAAACTTTAGTATTTATCAACTTTTTTCAACTATCCAATGTACAGCTTAACTACCATAACAGAATGTACACACCGTGTTGTTAGATTAAGAGGGCAATCCCTGTCATTGTCCCTTCCCACTATATGTGTTCAGTGTTAAATAAAACACGTGCCATAAAGGAATAAGATTCTAACTTTTAAAGAAAATCCAAATAATTGTTTAAACAGCTGAAAAATACCGATTTGAGACAGGAAGGCATTTTCTGTGCGTGTTCACAGTTATGTGTATTGACCCACACAAATGCAGGCATTGAGAGCCACCGGAAATCTCCCAGTTCCTAGCAGCAGGGTGTGCAGTTGTATATGCACAACCACATGCTTTGGCAGTTTCACAAAGCAAAAAATATAAGTTTACAACTGCACGCTAGCAGACTTATTTGAAGAATAAAAAAGTTATGAATAAGAGTTTAATGGGAAGACTTGACATCTCTGAGGATTAATAATGGGATACAAAATGCCTTTCACCTGTTGGTCACCAGTTCACATCCAGTCCAGGTTGGTAACTAATGAAAAGGTGCGATCCGACAGCTACTGGTTTGCTCAGGAGAAATGAGTGGGTGGTCCTAGACCAACCCCTAATGGAGATCCTCTGCACAGATGCACTGGCGTATTTATGGCTTTTTAGTGCAGAGACCAATGAGACATTATCATAAAACAATGAATGGCAATCTCATTGCTGGAGGAAAAAAACAACTTAATGAAGACACCTTAATGATTGATTTGGAAGACTGTGCTGGTATTCACCTTACTGGACCTGGACCTTACTCTGATGCCTATAATGAGGACAAACTTTCAGCAGTTTTCCATTAATAGAGAAAACTTCCTCCCTCCCCACTCCTAAATCACAGAATAATAATAAAAATAATAATAATTTAAAAAAAAGATGAATTGCCCACAATTACCACCTTCCAGCAACACCAGCAAATTTAAAAGGAAAAAAAGTGAAGGTAACTGACACATGGCTCTTATAATCTAGCACAGCAGTTGTCCTGGCTTTCAGAAACACCCCACTCTCCACAAATCATGCAAGCTTCAAATCAGAAGAGCTGGTTGCTTGCATTTTTGGAAGGTAAACAGTTAAGTGTTTAAATATAAATTCAGAAGCTTGATTTTTAAGACCAGTTCTTTGTAAAAGCTGACTGCAAGGGGCTTTTTGGTTGGTTAGTTGGTTGCTTCTTCGCTGCAGACCAGAACAATAGATCCAAACTTGCTAATATGGGCAGACATATTGCTTAACTGGGCTTTCCCACAAATGACTGTTATGATCACCACGACAAATGAAAGAGAGCCAGCTATGGGCAGTTGATACATTAGTAGAAGACCTTGTATTTATCCTTAAAATATTAAAAAACTGAGGACAAAACTACCATTTTTATATCCACCCCATTTTTTTTCCTCACTGCTGTGAAACTGTGCCAAATTCATGTTGAGGCAGCTGTTGTACTTTAGGCTGCTGGAGGCCCAGGGACCCCGAGATGCTAGTAAAATTGGAAGATTAATACAGCTGAGCAGCTCTGAATAACCCTCTTGTGGAAACTATGATGACACAGTGGCAACCAGTAAGGTGGTTCAACAAATTAGGTGGTCTCTGCAATTAAAACCAAATTTATATTTCGTAAATATTCATCATTCTTCAAAGCCTGCAAGGGTTTAACGGGTAGAGCAGAAACTTCACTCTTCAATATAATTTTACCAGCTATAACTGGTAATAATGCGATTGCATAAGGAACTCAATGTGTCAGAAATGCAGTTGACTGTCATTCCCTACATCTGCTCAATTTTTTTTGGCAAGCATTCACATTTTTAATAAAAGGAACGGAATTCTGAAAAGATTGTTAATGGAAGATTGATTGAACTGCAGACACTGACTACAGAAAAAATGATTATTTTACAGATTTTCTTCTTCCTCTCTAGGACATTTTAAAGTCAC